AGCAAATTGCATTCACATAAAAGAAACTTGCAATAAAATGAATTTGCAATGAAAATAATTAATGTATATTAAATTATAAATGTATTCGTAATAAGTGCGACATGCATCAATTTTCATTCCCAGCTAATGCAGCACTCGAGCGAATGTAAAATCTTTCATTCTAATGCAAAATTACTTTACTTCCATTTTCTTGCTAGTTACCTCGTAAATGAACACACAACAATTCAGGTCAAAAGTTGCATAAAACTGTCGGCATAATTCACAAGTTTTCAAACTAGCTGGCTACGATATTTGGCGACTCCTGCCCAGGCAGATATTAGACTGTAGAAGGGGCGAAAAGATTGCGCAGGGAAAAAGTACAAGTGCAATTACCAATTAGAAGTTACAAGTTTTCTGTGTGCTGCGGAAACATTTTCATTACAATTTCTGATTTATGGCAAACGCAAGTAGGGGCCGGCGTACAGGCTGGGCGGGGGGGTACTTCTTTCAAATAAGTCAAAAAAGCAAAAGCTTTACAAGTTCTTCTGCTTGTTTCGTGTCTGTTATAAATTTCAAGTGTGCAATAATAAAGCCAAAAAAAGTGAATGAACATACAAAGAAAACAATTAAACGAAGTAGCAAAAAGTACAAAGAAAGAGAATTTAATTTAAAAAAAAAAAAAAACAAAAGAAACAAAGTGTTCTTTTAACGTTTTCAATTTGATTTAGGCGGTGAAATGTAATAAACTTAACATGATACCTTCACGAATAGTCAAATATGGAAATAAAATATGTATTGATAAATTTTCTAAAAATTTTTCAAAATTTCTTACTATTTGCTTATGCAAAAAAAAAAATGTGTTTTTTATATAAATTTCAATTATTTCCCATTATTTACGTTTACGTTTGAAAATTTGCATACCATATATCTTCTAATGCTCAGATTTCCCATCAAAAATGTATATAGATAAATTTTTACATAATTCTTAATTATTTCCCATTATTAAAGTACGTGCTAGTTGCATAGGCAATAAGAACATTTTATACGACAAATGGTATCCCATTATATCCCATTATTTATTTATGTAAACCTAACAGTTGATTAAAGTAATTTCCCGCAGACAATTCAATGCATATATCTAATTAACTTATTTTGACAAGTCAGTTGATTAAAGTAATTTCCCGCAGACAATTCAATGCATATATCTAATTAACTTATTTTGACAAGTCAGTTTGTTGCTTAACATTTTTCGATTTCTTATCGATCGATTTTCTGTCATTCCTTATTAACATTTTAATAACATTTGCATGTTAATGAGTTTAAAACACAAATGAATTTCATTTAAATTTCAAACTTTGCTCTTAACTTGCAGCTTGCAATTATTTTGCCCCTTGTAGATTATTAAACATTTAATATGCAGGCACACACACGCACCCCTACACACACACACCTTCACAGGCAGTGCCTCCACAAGCATGCAAACATTGTTATTATTAAGTAATTTTTTAAGAGTTACCCACTCCCTCCCTCCCCTCCCCCCCCCCTCTCTCGCTCTCCCTGTCTGTCCCTCTTTAACTCATTGCATTTTGCTACTTTGCGGTTTTAGACGACATGTCGCATTGTTGTCAACGCAAATTTCCGTGCCGCATGCAACAAGGCAGATGCAACAGCAGCAGCAGCAGCAGCAAAGGAAATCTGCTGCACCCCTTTTCGTCTTGCCATCCGTTAACTTTTCACTATGCTCGCCTGCTTTAACAGCAGCTCAACGCTTTTGACTTTTAATATGCTGGCAACCCAAAGCCATCGTTACCTTAAGCACCCACCCCTTGCAGCTTGTTGCATTAAAATTACATATTTTGTTGGGGCAGCTCTGACGTTGAGTGTTGCTTTGTTTGAAGTGCTGCTTGTCCCCTTACACAACACTAACCAATGCACCCGACGCCCACTAGCCAGCACTGCAAATTTATGACTATCTCTTCCTCGCTTGCTCTTTCTCTTTTTTTTTTTAGTTCGCCTCCTTTGCACAGTCTTTTATTAAAGTTTGCACATTTCGTTCTTCACATGCTATGCTCGCTTATGATTTTGTTGCTCTTTTTGTTGTTGTTGCTTCTGCTGTTTTTATATTTTTTATTATTTTAGTTTCTTTTTTCTTCTTCTACTCTGACAATTTTTCATATGCAGCGAATTTGCATAAAGAAAAATAAAACAAAAACAAGAGCAAAACAGAAGCCACCACGCCGAAAAATTGTTGCGTTGCTGTTTTTCTTTATCTGCCCCGCTAGGGGGACGGGGTGTGGGTGTGGGTGTGCTATGAACAGTGTTGAACAACGGATCTGTTGTTGTTTTACAGCTACGCGTTTGCCTCGTAAAGATATGCATGCAAATTTTGTGCTAGTTTTTCTATATTTTTCCTATACACATATATTTTTTTTGGCGGCGCGTGCTGCTTAACACATGCGAGTGGCCATAATCATCAACAGCCCTATTTAATCCTCTCGGCTCGCTCCCTGCCGCTGGCCGTCCTATCGGAAGCTTGTTAATCGTTAGACGTTTTGATTGAAATTATCTTTGGAAGTATATTGAATACGTTTTTTGTGCTTGCATGTTTTTTTTAGGTTACCTGATAAAATATACTTTAGGCCTGCTTTCATTAACAAAAAACAACTATGTTTGCATTATGCAACACTTGCGGGAAACCATTGCGAGTCAGCTTGTTTGGGTAGTTTTTGTGTAGTGGTGTAAAATGTTCCACTTAGTGTTGCTTAAGCGACTTGCCGCAATGCCGAAGGGAATTAAATGCAGAAACATTTGCCAATTTTCATTAAACAGCACTGCCTCCATTAGGGAGTAATATCTTGCCGCTTCTAACACTTAAGGCCAACTGCATTTTTCCACACTGGTATGAAAACTAATCTGAATGAACACAAGCCGCTTATACGATTAAAGCTGAGATCTTCTGGGCGGGCCTTTCTGACCGAGAGTTTTGCTCAGCTTTCGTTTCTCCAGCTAATATCTGCCTATACTTAAAATAACATTTTGTGTTTTGGCTTGCCTATCTTTTTTCAATGATGGAATAGCATGTACAAGCATAGAGCATAATAATTTTTCGTCACAAATTTCAATATAAAATAATTGCAGCTAGCGTTTAACAGCCTCTCGTATACTCTTCAGAGGAATCTTATCGAAAATAAAGTAAAATTTTTCCTATTTAACCGCTTGAGCAAACAGTTATAAGCTCAGCTTTTGCGGCTCCAACAAACGTTAGCATTAAACAGCGGAAAATTTATAAAAAAAAAAGCAGAAGAACGAAAAAAAAATAGAATGCAAATTGTAAGCGCTCAAAGTCCAAGTTGCGAATGCATTTCAATTTTGCAGAAAAATCGCTGAGCAGCAGCAACAACAACAAAAGAAATATTGGGCAAAAAAAAAGAAAAACAATATTGTTAACAAAGGCCGCGAAAATATGCAGTCGAACTGTGCCACGCCCATTGCCCAAATACACACACACACACACCCACACACACATTTGGGAGAGCCAATAAAAAACGCATTGTTGGCATAAAAATTGAACATGTGTGAGCTGTGCGCCCAGTCGAGCACTTTGTGTGCCGCCTTGTTTGACTTTATACTCGGAGCGGGAGCGCACAGAACGAGGGCAGTGCAAGGGCGTGCAGGGTAGTGGGGAGTGCGGATGCAGGCATGTAGATTATCCCTAGGATTATCCTGTGCAGCATGACTGCGTTTTAGTTGCACTTTCTTGAGCACAAAGAGCATCTGCAGCCATCATGCAGGTCCCTGGGACCAGGTTCTGTGCCCAACATATGATATTTACATAAAGTTGGGCACACTGTACGCTTGCCCTCTCTATCTGTGTGTGTGTGTAGGCATGGCTGTGGGTTTGCATTTGACGTATGTCAGCAATGCATAGCCGGTTTTTGTGCGCCTGGCAACTCTATTGCCCGCTCCACAAAACTACGCCCAAAACTTGAGCTGGCATTTCTTTTCGAACTCTACAAGACTCTCCAAAGTCAGCACAACTGCAACAGCAACAACAACGACAACAACAGAAACTGCTAGTGAACTTTCCATTGCCTAATTGCAAATGTGCTTGGCAAGAAACGTTAAAAAGGGAAATCAGAGCATGTGCCAGTTGTGAGGGGTCGACTGCGAGATACCCTGCACAAACACTCTCTTTCTCTCTCTCTCTCTCTCTCTTTCTTCTTAGAGAAGATAAAACGAATAGTTTATATAAAAAAAAAAAAACAATACTTTATATTCCCTACTTGAAATCTACAATTCTTATGCGCTCTAAACGACAGACAGACTTGGCAGACAGATAAACTAATCTATATTTAAATAGAGAAATGCCTCTTGAGTTCAATTTACCTATTGGCATTATAGACCCCCTTTTGCATCCGATTTCGTAGGGCATAAGCAAATACGTATAATTTCCATAATTTGATTTAACGCAAAAATTTACAACAGTTTTACAACAGAGGGCGTGCTTGGGTCATGTTTACGCTGCGCACATTTCGAATAACGTAAATTTAATTAAAAAACGCTATACGCAAGATATGCCCAGGCTCACGAAATAAAAAATTAAGAACAACGCATGCCACAGTTCGCTGCGTCTTTCCCTTAAGTTGTTGTTCTTGTGGCTGTTTTTGTTGTTGTTTTAATTGAGTTCATCAGCAAATTGTTTTCACAAAACTTCGAATCTGTGGCCCTTTCCTTGCCCCCCCTGTTTTTTTTTCACCAGAAATGTGTGTACTGCGCTTAGTATGCTGCGCGCGTAAAAGCTTAGAAAGAGCATAAATTGCCATTGTGTGTGAGAGTTTTTTGTTTTCGCTTGTCTGTAATCCGAGGCGCTTAGTAATTTTTAGCGGTTTGACGCTTGGTCACGGATCAAAGACAAAAAAAAAACGTAATATTCTTGCAGCTTTAAAAATTTCCTTTTCCCATTAATGATTGAGAAATATGCAAAAAGTTTGTTAGGGTTTCACTTACCTAAAGAGTGGAGCTTCCGCTTTATGTAGTATATTTAAATTCCAGGAATAAGCTCGTCCATATTTCTGTAATAAATAAATACAATATAATATTATAATAAAATACATATGCATATAAAAGGTTTACATATTTAGCAACAGGCAAAAAACTCTAAAGCGAAAGCAACTGCATCTCGTTTAGCTGCCTCAAGTCAATTATGTGTTGGCAAGCTATTTAATTTCGAGCAAATATGCAACAGCTTTTAGCTAAACAAAAGGGCCACAGCCATGCCCCCCCCCCCCTCTCCCCCCCACACACACACACACACACACACATACACACACACGCACACACACTCAAAAAGTAAGATAACAAAAGGCTAACATTTTTTACGCCAGCCAGGTGCAAAAATAAAATAAGGTAGTGTTGAGCAACGCCGAACTATTTCATAACGTGGCAACTTCTGTTCGCACTATTTATTTTTTTTTTTTGGCAAAGGCTGTCTGTTTTTTTAGGCAAGTGGCTAACAATTAGTTTTGGGCTTTGCTGTGAAACGTTTTTAAGTGCCGCTACAAAGCTGTTGCCCCTCACACCTGTGCCCCACGCTCCCCCTCTCACCACACACCATAGCACCCTCACACCCCACGAGCAATGGTCGTAAATGGTCCATTGTTGTGACTTTTGACTGGCGTTGTGTCTAGAAATTCCGCTTTGAAACGAAATGCAATAAGAGAGGCTTTTGTTTAGGCTCCGAAAATTGGTTGCCCGTGGCATGCCGCGCCCCTCTCCCCAAGCTGTTGGCCATTGTTGAACGTGCCAAAACGCGCACGTGTGTATGTGTGTGTGTGTGTATCTCTGTTTGTATTGGCATTTGTATTTGCCCTTTGTCTGGCGGCTGGGCGGGACGGTTCGGGGCGTGGCGCATTAAAAAACAATTTGTTGTTTTGACACCAAACTGGCCAACGGCTTCGACTCGCAACCCTCGCAACCCTCGCAGCTGACCGCAACTGACCCGCACAACACACACACACACACACACACACACACACACACACACACACACACACACACACACACACACACACACACACACACACACACACACACACACACACACACACACACACACACACACACACACACACACACACACACACACACACACACACACACACACACACACACACACACACACACACACACACACACACACACACACACACACACACACACACACACACACACACACACACACACACACACACACACACACACACACACACACACACACACACACACACACACACACACACACACACACACACACACACACACACACACACACACACACACACACACACACACACACACACACACACACACACACACCACACACACACACACACACACACACACACACACACACACACACACACACACACACACACACACACACACACACACACACACACACACACACACACACACACACACACACACACACACACACACACACACACACACACACACACACACACACACACACACACACACACACACACACACACACACACACACACACACACACACACACACACACACACTGGACAGGATTTCCATTTGCCTTCGTTTGCTCGTGACTGCCATTTGTATTTATATTTGTGTTTGTGTTTGTATTTGTATTTGCCAAGGGTTTACTTTTTATTTGCCCAGATCCCAAAGCTAGCACTCGAGTGCCGTTTGTTTATGTGTAGCTTATTGAGTTCACACCTATGTGCGCTAGCTTAAAGGGTAAACTCTCTCTCTCTCTCTCTCTCTCTCTATATCTCTTGATTGCACTAACTTGTATTTGTAGATTTGATTAGGCGCTAGATATATTCTATAGCTATCAGAATGAAAACACTTAAATATCGTTTGTATAAATATAACGTACAAACGGACACACTTGCATGTCGTTGGTTTCTACATGTTGTTAGATGAATTCCTTTGGCAACTTTATGATAAAGTGGTCCAATCCGATCAGTTCAGACATGTGTACTGCCTGGAACAGAAAGACGGACCTATGCAAGGTTTCAAGACGATAGCTGCGAGATAACTGAAACACTAGAAGCAGGCAGGCGAATATATTTACTCTATGGGGTAGGAGATGTCTTCTTCTATGCATTAAACATTTCATGACATAGATATAATAACCTCTACATGGGTTTAAATGTATGACTCGCCAAGGTTTGAGTCCTGATCTGGGTTCATGTCTAGGAAAAAGCAGGCCGAACTCATTTTGTTGGGCTATCAAGGAAGCACGATTGAATATCGATAAAGAATTACATGCCTATATCGATAAGTTGTTAAAAAACATTAGCTAAAGCTATTTACGTTATATCCGTAGTTGGTAAGACCTTAAAATTGTCAATGCTAACCGCACGCATCGCTTAGCTTTAACATGATTATATTTATTGAGCTCACACCTCGTCAGCTGCAAATTGGGTTGACTAATGCAATTGGGCGACTGGCTGAAAAATGTTTAGCTCCATTTGGCTACGTTTGGCTTAACGTAGCAGCTCGTAAATTGGCTTTAATTTGCATTACCGTCAAAGTTATTTGCACATGTGCACATGTGTGCACTTTGCCCGGCCGCACGCTCCACCAAATTGCAGCTACTAAAGCGCTAAAACGTGACGACAGCTGAGGACGAGCAAAAGGACGAGCCGAGCGGCGGATGGACCCCAAAGAAAAATCTTCAAGTAAATTCGTGTGCAACAAGCTGACTGGCGAACAAGGTAAATGCGCCAGTTAGACCTACTCTTTGCGAGATAAAGACACAGGCGGTGCAGATGGGTAAAGAGACGTTGCATTTACCCAAGAGTCACGCCCATTTGGTACATTTTTTATTTTACTTGCACTCGGCTGCGCCTTTTACTTAAACGCTTATTGGCTTAGTCAAAATGCAGCTGCAGTTGCCATCGACTCAATAAATGTCATATCCTTGCTGCTACCGAGTCCTTTCAGGCGCCGTGCCTCCCCCCACACAACCCCCCGCTTTCCACACCCCATTATGCTCAGCTGCCTATAAGCAGCTTTAGACAGCCTTTGCTCGGGGAATGGGTTGGTCGGACCGGCTAAGTGCAAGAATGGCACAGCTTGTAGAATGTGTGGCTTATTAAACTGAGAGTCCAAACAATATACGATATACGATATAAATATATAATAAATATATCTTAAATATATAATTGACGTCGCTTCGATTCACTTTTGAGCTTCATGTTTGCAATACATTTCCGCCATTAGGTATTTCTTTTCGTGTTCCACATCAATGAAGCAAGGCTTGAACTTTGACTTGTCACATTTCTAATGAAACTTTGCCAATTTCCAGCTGCTTTAAGATCAGATTTAATAAGTCTTAACTTTCGAATCACATTGAAAATCAGAAACATTTTCAAACGACCCAAAAAGTTATTTTTACATTCTTTAAACTGATTAGTTAACAGTCAGCAAATATTTATTAAATATTCCTTCTCTTTCTTCTAATTGCAGGTATGTTAACTGATGTCAAATGTTAGAAGTTAACAGAAAACGCTCATGTTAAATCTTGTATGTAACACAAACGTTAGCTTTAAGTGTAACATTTAAATTTAAAACATTGAATAACGAAAGACTTTGCCGTTTGATTAGCTCTTGCACACAAACATCCCAATAGATGGCAATTTAGGATTAGCACGATTTGCGTTTAAAAAGCCATAAAAAATCTTCCGTTTCAATAATTTGGGCAGCGTTGCGTGCAAATTGAAATTCACATTAGGCGCGAAATCAAAAAGCGCATCGACACATAATGCATGCATAAAAGTGCCATTAAAATGAGGTTTTAAAATCAATCGAGCAAATATTTATGAATGCACTTTGCATCAAGTGCCAGCGACAACAAAATTAAACGCATACACAACAACAAGGTGGCAACGCCAGACGCCGTGTTAAGCAGCTAACTGACAATGACGGCGACGCCATTTACGACCCACAGCTAAAAATAAACACAAAATGACAGGCGACAGCAACAACACGAACAGCAAGTGCGAGCGCGTAGTTAAAGTGTCAAAACCAGACGCACACACAACACACGCACCTAGCCACGCCCACCAGCACACAGCACCTGCCCTGCCCAGACACAGTTCACGGCTTTAGCCAGGTAACGCAAGGCGTGTGCGTCATTTTTTTTATAGAAATTCCTCTGCTGGCTTTTACTCATGTGATTTCGTGATTTTGTTAGCTGAATTTTCCTTTTTCGAATAAGCATGGCATGAAATCATTTCAGAACACACAGAGCGACCCTCGCTGCGCTGCCGTCAGCGGCATGTTTGTCATAAATATCGAACAAGCAACTGTTCACCCTCCGCACTCCCCTCGAACACTCAGCAGCTGACTGATTTAGCTGTGTGGCCCGTTTGGGCGTGTCAAATGCAAAAAACTTAACCGATTGATTTAAACGCCACTTGAAATTACCCAAGCGATATTTATATATATATAGTTATAGTTGCCTGACCTTTTTTTAAATTTAAAAAAAATTATTCGCTGCCGCTGCAGGTGTCTGACAGCTACGCCCAACAGGGGGCGTGTGAGTGCGCTTTAAACTTATGAAGACAACAGGCGCATTGTAATTTATGTGCTTCAAGTGCGGCGTCGGGTGGGGGCCCGTTTGTCCGTCCGTCTGTCTGTTAGTTTCTGTTTTTAGGGGTCAGCTCTTTTGGCCATTGTTTATGGCCACACACACACACACGCACACATGTCCATTACATGTAACATCCAGCTACAAACTGTACTACGTAATTTATGCGACATGTCAAAAAGTGTGACCAGCTCACAATTGAATTTTATGCAAAAATATGTGCAAGCAGCACGCATTATCCGGCTATGCCCGCGCTTTAAATAATTCAATTGATTTTGAGCTTCGAAAATACAATCTTTCAATAGGATCTTTCGATCCTGCAGCTCTTTGAATCAACTAAGAAAAGGTGTTATACAATAGTATATAATGCATTTTCTATGATTTTTTTCAACACATTAGCATGCAGTAAATTATGATCGTAGAATCATGTTG